TATTCATACTGTCTCCAGATCCTTATTTCACACCCAAAAGTCAATATACTGCAACCTGGCTGAAATGTATCAAATTTACTGTTAATAAAACAAATGATCTCCTAAATAGAAAATCGAGTGGATAATTCAGTCATCTGTGGACATTTGACACTGATGAGCTCAAGCAATCTTTCTCATGAAGTATTCTCCAAAGGCTGTTTTCCAAAATTCCACATTCCTAAACTTCCATTCACCTTTCTGAAATATTTTTCTCAGTCTTTGAGAGCCCTCTTCCTCAGCCAAAACCTTACGTGGTGTGCATTAAGGAACATTATTTCCCATCTTTTTTTTTTTTTTAATATTTCCTCTCTAATGAATCTCCTCCATGCCCATGGATATAATTTCTATCTTTCTAAGGACAACTCTGAAATCTGTACCTCCACGTATACTTTGGTGGTGGTTCTCTCAGCTTCCCACTGTTCTTGTATATACCTCTATTAAATCAGCTATTATACAGTATTCTAATTATCAGCATGCCTTTACCCATTAGAATGTCAGTGTCCTGAAGTCAGTGTGACAGGCAGGGTAGATGCACAATAAATACGTATGTAAATTGCTGAATAATTCTCTCATTTCCTGGATCCTGTCAGATAATCTGCAGTATATCCCACTAATAGATTATAAAATTAATACCAGATAAATAATCCATTAATTTCTCACCTTGTATCTTCTTTGTGTCCTCACTTTCCATACTCGTCTGTATTCTTTTTCCTTATATTTCATCTATAAGATAAAGGTATTCTCTCAATTTAAATCAATGTTTGAGAATTCCAGAATTATAAATGCAAAGGGGCAGGGAAAAATAGTTTTCCTGAAGCCAGAGAGCAGGGACTGAATCTACAACCTATTGAATATGTGATAAAGGTTATATTTAAGTTCTCTGAGGCTGTTTCCTTATCTGCAAAATAGGAAATTCCTACTTTATAAAGTTGTTACAAGAATTAAATTTAAAAACATAGATAAACGCACGTGGCATTCTTAAGTACTACAGGCATTCAACACATTTTATTAAATAAACATAAAAATGGTTGGTTAACTGAATCTAACTGATCCTCTTCTGGTACTCCTTCCTTATTTTCTCTCCTGTAAATTTTCATCCCATCATTTCTGATTGGTCACCCCTCCATGAATCAGAAATTTAAAACACACACACACACACACACACTTAAGAACTCCATTTCTCTACACAAGCTAAGTTTAATATTAAAATATTTTTCTAACAACTCATTTTTTTCAACATAGTATTCTTTTAAGTTAAAAATCTTTGTTTATATATCACTTGTTAGAAGAATTTTTAAAATAACCAGCAACCCTGATATGGCATCTCATATGCTAAACTGATTTTTTAGAAAAATCTGAGAGTCCGATTAACTTCTTAGAGTCATCAGGACTCACAGAACTCTAGAATTCTTATTTACTCCAACACTATAAGGTTAAAGGGAGATAGCTACTTATCCTTTCTATTTTTTTCTCATTCTCAGAATGGAAATAAAATTCCCAAACAAAAAAATAATAAATGTGAGAATCTTTTATAAGGTAATATATAAATATACACCAGTTTTGCCATTTTTTTAACCTAGATATTCCATAATGATGTAATGTATGGTGATTAACATAACATTTTAAAAAAAACCTAAATAAAAAAAAGAATGGTTAGGTACATTATGGTACACTCACAGGATACTGTTAACAAGAATACTGATGTTTGCTTGAAATTTTTAATAACAAGGCAAAATGCTTATGCTACAATTAATCTAAAAGAACAAAACTCAAACTTTTATCTACAGCATGATCCCAATTTTGTAGAGGCAAACATAAAATAAAACTACATAGAAAACAACAACATTAACACTCGTCTTTAGCTGGTGGTTCTATGGTGTCTTATCCCACTTTTTTCTATTTTTCACAATTTTTATAATAATAAAAGCTTCTAACATTCAAGTCCTATCATAGGCAAGGTTGTGTTCTGTAAACCTTATAAATATTATCTTTTTAGTTTTTACAACAATCCTAAGAGGGAGCTATTGGGATGAATTCTGATGAGGAGAGGGTAAATAATTTGCTCAAGTTCAAACAGAGAGTATGTGCCAGAGCTGGAATGGGCACCAAGAAAATCTGAGGCCAACTCCTACACTCTTATCCTCTATTGTACTGTCTCCCATATGTAAACATGCATTACCTTTCAACAAATGGGTTAGGATTTGGAAAAGGAAGACTAAATTAAAAAAAAAAACTTATAAAAATGGACTACTATATCATATGTGGAAATTTTTGCTTTGGGAAGGAATTTAAGGACTATTTCCTTAGTTTTAATTAGTCAGAATTAATTATTCTGCTTTAAATATGATTTTATTTTTAAAAAGGAATATAACTTTAAAATCTAAACATCTTGAAACTGAAACTGACAAAATACACTACCTTCTATTCCCCTTTGTCTTTCCTATACTTTTTTCAATTAGATGGTCACTTTGCACACAAAAAAATAGAGTTTTCCAACTACCTTGTAGCATTAATACAAGTCATCTATTTACTAGCAAAATGCTTTAGAAACATCCACAGCAAAGGACAGGCTATAACTTTTAAGGAATTGATAATTATATAATTATATTTTAAATTATATAGTCTCTTCCCCAACACAAAAGTATCTGTTCAATAAAGCAGACAGTGTTTTCAGTAATTTAGTGAAGATGCAAATTGTAATGAACAAGATTTCAAAATTGCTGTGTTCTCACACCAGGGAGAAATGATTTTTCCAGGTAACAGGAAGAAACCATCCCACTTACAGGTTTAATTTAATCTACTCTCCAAAACAGTGCTGTTAAATTCAAATTTAAGCAAGAAAACTAGCTGAAAATTACTCTTTCCCTTGGCCTAGAAACTGCTAACATGAAAAGCTTTTTTGAAATGTAAATATTACCCCCAAAATATCAGAACGATAAATGGCATCTTCCTGTATAAGGCTGGCAGGCTGAAAATCCCATCATTAATTGCCATCACTAAGTCCTTGACAGCGGATACCCAGCTTGGACTCATACATTGTGGAAATTTTCCTTACAGTAGGAGAAGCGAGGGAGAAAGGGCCAATATGCAAATAAATTAGCTTTTACAATAGTTAAAATAGATTGAGAACAGGTGCAGAAAAGCGAGGGTACCACGAGTGAGTTCACACTACATTTACATTCCCAGACTCAGGAGATCGGAGCAGCTGTTTCACATTAATCCTCATCACCTCTTCCCAGTTTGCACAGGCGGGCGATGCCCGATCTTTCCAAGGAGGGAAGTCTATCTACCTCCACCCTGTTTCCCTCATTAACACCAAGACCTGGCTCACCTAAAGAGCCGGGAGATCTCCTTTTGAAGAGCAGAGGTCTTCCCCAGGCCCTCTCTTCTTAGACCAGGGCTCTCCAACTCCTGCCAAGGACGGGATGCTGGTTAAGGGCGCGAGTCCCGGCCTTTCATGGGGGATTCACCAGCAGCGGGTGCGCCCCTCAAGGGCTGCGGCCCATGCGGCCCGGCCCACGGTCTGAGAAAGGGCCTCACCACTGGTTCCCACCCCTCCCATAACCCGAATCACCCGGCGAGAGGCCCGAGGATTCTCAAGTACAATCAGGGTCGGAACCTGCCGGGCTCCAGACGCCCGACTACATGGTACGTGACAATTCTCCTTCTGCCACCAGCTGCTGTGGGGACTGCAGCCGGGGTCTGCTGCCTCCTCAGGGAAGCCCGTTCCTGCCAGCTCAATCCACCCCCTCACGTCAGGGGGTTGGAAAGGGAAGAGCCGGGCGTCCCGCATCCCAGCCGCTGTGACGGCGGACCCGGGCCTACCAGCGGCAGCCCACCTTCCACAGGAGGCCAGAGCTCGGTTCCCGGGCGGGAGCCGGGCAGGATCCGAACGCGCGGGGAGCAGAGGCCGTGACCTTCACCCTCAAGTCGCAGCGCGCTGGGATTCCGCCCCTTCTCCCTCGCCGCCAGCCTACAACGACGCCATACTCGGTTTCCCGCCCAACGGGTCGGGCCCACTTCCGTAGGGCGGGACTTCCGGCTGCGCCAACCCGGTCTCTCTCCGCTGACCGCAGCTCCCGTTACCAATGCGGGTTCCGGGTATGAAGCGGATGGATGCAGTGTCATTGAGTGGTGGAAAGTCACAATGTGGACGGGAAATCCTCTGATCTCATCGCCCCCAGTTTTTAGGGCTTTCTTTGCTCAGAGGGGCGTTGGCAGCAAGGAGTCAGGAAAGCAGGCTCTGGGACGATGAAGCTGGTTCTGGGACTGTGGCTGCAGGGCACAACATGGGTTAAGAGGCCATACGAGCACCAAGCCTGGCCTTATTCCTCTCTCCCAAGCTTCCTGTCCTTTCTAATAAAACTATACACAGAAATATTTGTCTTTTCAAATCGTGATGGTCCTAAGACGTCCATAGCTAAAATCTATGCATGGCTTAAATTCATTGCTTAAGAGGGTAAAAAAAACCTATTTTAAACTGTTTTTAATGAAACACAAGAGATTTTTTTTTTTAAGATTTTATTTTTAAGTAATCTCTATATGCAAGGTGGGCCTTGAACCTACAATCCACAGATCAAGAGTCGCATGCTGTAAGGACTGAGCCAGCCAGGCACCCCACAAGGGATTTTTATAAGTAACTGTGAATTAGCAAACCAGAAATAATGAACTCAATTAAAAATGGATAGCTTTTGGGGAATCTGGGTGGCTCAGATGGTTAAGCATCTGCCTTCCGCTCGGGTCATGATCCCAGGGTCCTGGGATCGAGCCCTATGTCTGGCTCCTGGCTCAGCGGGGAGCCTGCTTCTCCCTTTGCCTCTCCCCCTGCTCATGCTCTCTCTGTATCTCTGTCTCGAATGAATAAATCTTAAAATAAATTAAAATTCTTAAAAAAAAATGGATAGCTTTTATTCTCAGAAAAACAACTGCTTCCTTCCCCCACAAAGAACAAGACTACATTATTACAAATGAGAAAAATGTTTATTAAGGAAACAATTTAACAGTTCTCCCTTCCTAGAATTTTACAAACTAGAGCACAACCTGAAGGCAATTACAGTTTAAATCATTAACACACTACATAGGATGTTTATTCTACAACTGGAAAGTTGCTGAAGTTTGTGACATGCCACTATAAATGTAAGTATTATTAAAAATTACAAATTGTTTGGTGATTATTTTGATAACCTCCTGAGCAGCAGCTCCTGCAAGGAAAAAGGAGAAAAGCAAATCTTTGAAAAAGGTAAATTTCAAGTTATATAAAAATATCCAATTCTGTAAAGAAAACCTTTCATTTCCAAAAGCAAAAGTGTTTAAAAATAAGCCAAAACAGGCATAGCTTACTGAAGCACATCAAAATCAAGGACTGCAATTTTTTTATAACTATATTATTACAGGAACAAATTTTGTCCTATACATTCACACTTTGGGATATTATGCCACAATTTAAAAGAATGAAGTATTATGGTGGTTTCGAATGCTGATGATATTTTAAGTCAAGTCAAAACAGTAGTATGGTTGATAGTGCTTTTTAAAAAATACAAATAGGGGCGCCTGGGTGGCTCAGTCGTTAAGTGTCTGCCTTCGGCTCAGGTCATGATCCCAGAGTGCTGGGATCGAGTCCGCATCGGGCTCCCTGCTTGGCGGGAAGTCTGCTTCTCCCTCTCCCACTCCCCCTGCTTGTGTTCCCTCTCTCGCTGTGTCTCTCTCTGTCAAATAAATAAAATCTTTAAAAAAAATAAAAAATACAAATAGAAAAAATTCTCGAAGATGATCCTTATGTTACATTTACCCTGTGCCTACTTTAATAAAATGGAATAAAGGTGTATTTGTTCTAAATACATTTGTAATTTGGAAACAATCTATATTAAATACCGCCAGGCTGCTATACTCAGTAACAGTCTTATTTTTTTTATTTTTTATTTTTTTAAAGATTTTATTTATTTATTTGAGACAGAGAGAATGAGAGAGACAGAGAGCACATGAGAGGGGGGAGGGTCAGAGGGAGAAGCGGGCTCCCTGATGCGGGACTCGATCCAGGGACTCCAGGATCATGACCTGAGCCGAAGGCAGTCGCTTAACCAACTGAGCCACCCAGGCGCCCTCAATAACAGTCTTATACAGTAAGAAGTTTTGAGTAACTAATCAAAGCAAACAATAGAAAAAACAAAACTACAGAGAAAAAAAAAATTCTTCATCTATTATAATATGAAGCTTCATCTTTTTTTTTTTTTCTTTCTTTAATGGACAGACAGAGAGAGAGAGACAGCGAGAGAAGGAACACAAGCAGGGGGAGTGGGAGAGGGAGAAGCAGGCTCCCCACTGAGCAGGGAGCCCGATGCGGGGCTCGATCCCAGGACCCTGGGATCATGACCCGAGCTGAAGGCAGTCGCCTAACCGACTGAGCCACCCAGGCACCCCTGAAGCTTCATCTTTCACAAACATTCATTGATTCAATAAAATATGAGACTCTATTATGTACCAGAAACTCTTCTAGGCACTAGGGATAAAGAACAAAAGAACAAATCCTTGCCCTCATGGATCTTACTTTTTAGTAGAAAGGGAGAGATAATTTACAAATAAGTAAAATTTACAGTAAGTCAAATGACTCTAAGTGCTAAGGAGAAAAAGCAAGAAAGGGGGGTATATATGAGTGCAAGAGGAGTGACTCAGTTTTAAAGTGGGGAGTCAGGAATGGCCTCATATAACATTTTAACAAAGGGAAGATAACATTTTAACAAAGACCTGAAAGAAGTGGAATATAACCGTGTTGTGCAGAATATACAACACATTATGGACTAAATGTCCTCAAAATTCATGTTAAATCCTTAATACCTAATGTGATAGTATTTGGAGATGAAGATGGTATGGGGGTCTTTGGGAGGTAAATAGGGTCATGGGGTAGGGCCCTCATGATGGGTTTAGTGCCCACATAAGACATCAGAGAGCTTGTGTCCCATCTGTCCTCCCTGAACAAAGACAAGGTTATATAATGGCACACAGCAAGATGGTAGCCACCTACAAGCCACAAACAGGCCTCACCAGAAACCAACTGGCCTGGCCCTGACCTTGGACTTCTGGCCTCCAGGGAGTTTTTATGAAAGAGATGCTAACTTTCATTTGGGCCTTGAAGAACAGGTAGATTTTAGACATGCAAGAAATAGGGAGATTTAAGGCAAATGGGCCCTGAGGGTTAAGGATTGTAGGAGCAGGAAATCATAGGGCATGTCTCCAGGAAAAGGAAATAACTTGAAAAAACCAAGGCCAGAAAGGCAGAGTGGAACCAGAACACGGTGTGTTTTTAATGTCAAATCAAGGACTCTGGACTTGTTTTCTGAAGATCATTGTAGTGTGTATGTGTTACTGCCAGGGCAGAGGGTTAGTTAAGTGAGAGACATGAGCAGAGCTACGCTTTAGGAAGATCAATGACACTTCACTTTAAGATGGACAGTAGTGGGAGATGAAAAGCAGAGACCAGTAAAATAATCTAAATAACACAATATCCTGCCTCACTGACTCCCCTAGTTAAAACAGCTCAGAAAACAAAACTTCTTAACTGTATTGTGTTATCACAGATGCCAGTCTTCTCATCTATGGAACTCACCCCCTAAGAACGCAGCAATGGTGTGTGGCTCAGCAGCTCCGTATCGGCAACTACAGAAAGAGATGGAGACGTGAACTTAGATTAGCCTTATGACAAGACAGGTATTATCTTTCCCATGCCCTAAAAATACTCACAATTCATGGACATAGTCATCTTTCACCATTACAGATAATCCATTTTCCTGAAGGAAGCCAGTGAGACAAGACTTCAGCTTTCCTATATCTTCTTCAACTTGGTAGTTAGATACCCCTAAAAATACATATGTAAGTTAATTTTCATTAAAATGAATAATGAAATTCTAAACCAATGGCTATCTACTTTTCTAAATCCAGTTTTAGGTGTTCTAGTCAAAATAGTAAGGAATGAAACTGAAGTAAGAACAAAAATCAGGGTAAGTACGAGACCAATATTTACAACTATCACAAAGCTGTAACAATCAAAGAAACCATGTGAAACCTATTAAAATTTCAAGTCTGGTAAGTCTGCTTTGTTTACTGTTCTATACCCAGTATCTAGAAAAGTATCTGACACATAGTTGGTGCTCAATAATTATCTGACAGAAGAATTAAATGAATAAGAAAGTAATGTTCCATTTATACTCTGTATAAAAATTATGGTGCTCGGGGTGCCTTGGTAGCTCAGTCGTTAAGCGTCCAACTCTTGATTTTGGCTCAGGTCATGATCTCAGGTCAAGGTCTTGGTCTTGAGATCAAGCTCCACATCAGGCTCTGCGATGGGCATGGAGCCTGCTTAAGATTCTCTTTCCCTCTCCCTCTGCCCCTCCCGCCCTAAAAAAAAATTATGGTGCTTAAAAAATTATGGTGTTTATTATCCATTTGCAGAAGACTAAATGACACTGAAGACATAAAGCTATAATAGGTAACATTTATTGAACATTAATAAATGCTGGACAGTGTTCTAAGTACCATATATATTAATTGATTTAATCCTCACAAAAACCTATGAAGAAGGTACTATTATTATCCCCATTTATAGGTGAGAAAACTGAGGCAGACAGATTAAGTTATTTGCCTGAGTTACTTAGCTCCTAAGTAGCAAAACTGGGATATAGGCCTGGGCAGTTCTTAATGATAATACTATGTCTCCAAAGGCAAAGCTATTATTATTACTACCGGAAGGAAAAATACAATTGCTGTAATATTCAAGAATTACTAAAACAAATAATATTTTTTAGCCCTTCTAGTTTAAAAACCATCACTACTCTTCCTCATAATAATAATACCAAGCCTTTACTGAATACTTACAAGGTGCCATGCAGTGTGTTAAGTGATTTTCATACATCACCTACGTAACCCTTACAATCCAAGAGTAGACACTATTATCGCCGTTCCATAAATGAGAAAACTGAGACTTGGAAATAGTGACCCACCCAAGATCAAGAGATAGTAAGTGACAGAGCTTAGATCTGAACCTAGGTTCAACTCCAAAGCCTGTGCACTCTGTGGTAGCTAGTCTCCCAAGATGGCTCCCCAATGAATACTCCTTTGTGCCCTCACAAAGTCCCCTCCCACTCTTTTTTTTTTTTTTAAAGATTTTATTTATTTATTTGACAGAGAGAGAGAGAGCGAGAGCAGGAACACAAGCAGGGGGAGTGGGAGAGGGAGAAACAGGCTTCCCGCCGAGCAGGGAGCCCGACGTGGGGCTCGATCCCAGGACCCCGGGATCACGACCTGAGCCGAAGGCAGACGCTTAACGACTGAGCCACCCAGGCGCCCCTCCCCTCCCACTCTTAATCTAAGCTGGCTCTGTGAAGCCAATAGAACATGATGTAAGTGATGTTGTGTGACTTCTGAGGCTAATTCATAAAAAGCCTTGTATGTTCCACCTGGGTCTTTTAGAATGTTAACTTTGGGAAAGGCAGCCACCATGTAAGAAGTCTGCCCTAGGAATACAATGCTAAAAGGAAGCCCCAGTTAGCCATGGAGAGAGATGCCTAACCAGCCCTCAAGCAGTTCCAGCTGTTCCAACTAAAGTGCCAGTCACATGAGTGAAAATGTCTTCTTGGATGTCAAGCCTTCAGATGACCCCAGCCCCAGGCGTCATGCAACTCCGAGAGTGATAACTGCCTAACTGAGCCCAGCCAATCCACAAATTACAAGATAATAATTTACTGTTTTAAACTAGTAAGGTTTGGGATGGTTTGTTATGCAATAAATCAAAAATACAAGCTATCAAACAATACACATAAAGTAATACATATTTGGTGTTTATTCCTTTTCTTTCTGCTGGTAAGCTTGCTTGTTAAGACTGTAACTCAGTGGGCATACTACATCAGTTGGGGCAACAGGTTTTCTGATACTTCTAGAATGTGCTGCTATGCCGTAATACTGCACAATTAAAATTATCATCTTAATAAAAATATTCTGGTCAACTGAAGATCTTTTGAGATTATACCAATTCTCCAATTAACTCCATTTACAGACAACAAAAAATAGATTCTGAGCAAAGAAATCCCTACACCTTCAGAGTTTGGAATTCAAGTCACTAGGCATACTTCTTACGGCTTTCGTGTTCCACTAAATTAAACTCAGTGTGAGTCTTAGAAGTAAACTATGGAAACTGACAGGAAAAAAACATTTTATTCTAGGGGCACCCAGGTGGCTCAGTCGGTTAAGTGTCCGACTCTTGATTTCAGCTCAGGTCATGATCTCAGGGTTGTGAGATTGAGCCCCGAGTAGGGCTCTTTGCTGGGCGTGGAGCCTGCTTAAGATTCTCTCTTTCTCTTTCCCTTTGCCCCTCCCCCCAACTCCTCAAAAAAAGAAAAAGTTTTATTCTATAGGCATTCAACCAACATTCTCCTGTAATAGTTTAGAATCAAACATTATTTGCAAATACTTACACTTAAAAAACAAATGGTATTTCCTCCCTGAGATGAAGTAGGTATAAACTGTTTACAATGTAAAATTCAAGCACCACTGCTGTAAACACCCCAAGAACACCCAAGAAACTTTAAGATTTAATTCAATTTAAGTATTTACTCAAGACTTTATTGTATATGATAATGAGATTGCTGGTCTTACCTGGATATCGACCATGTTGTTTATGAAACCTATCAACAGCCCGTAACATTAAATATAATACTATCTCATTATCTGGATTGTCCATGCTGGAAACTGAAAGGGAAAAACAATTCAGTGTAATTTGGATAATTCATTACATAAAAACAATGTAGAACTGAATTTACTATATACTCCAGTTTCAGGATACACGGCAATTCTATCACAAAATTTAAATATTTTGTGACAATAAAATAGAAAATGATAAATAATAGTAAAATAAAGGGAGAGGGAGATATGTTAAGATGAAACCCAATGTTCTTAAGGACTATTAGCTAGTCACATAATCTCTAATAACGTAGTAACGTTCTGACTTTAGCTCTTCTTCATATCACATAACTTACTCAGTAACCTAAAGATGATTTCATGTATATATTAAGTTTTTATTTTGCAGTTATGACTATTTGGAAGTATGACTACTTATTGGTTTATAGAATAAAATTTACAGTACAATATTTACATTATCCTATAAATTATTATCATATACTCACTACTATTAAACAGAAAATATTTATTTATACCTCTAAAATTGATTAAAACTAATAACCTAGCATCAAAGGATTATTATACTTACTTATTTCCTCCTTGTTAATTGTATCCAAGCCATATTCTTCAGCTAAGGATCGACATCTTACCACTCGAAGAAATGCAGAATTGGTGCCTGAATACAGGAAAGACATTATGGAAGTAAACGGTTGAGATGTGAATATTCCAAATCACAAGTCACTCTAAGAACAGGAAATTTTGTATATACTCTTTACAGACATGGAAATGTGAAGAAATGCCTCTTTGGCTCTCATGGTTAGCAGAGAAGGCACTAGAACACAAATCATCTGAAATTCATATCCTTGGCAGTACAACTAGCTCAGCACTGAGTAAGTAGGTGATGGCACCTCTCTGAGCTTGCTTTCATTTGTAAAATGGGGATATTACCTTTGAAAGTTGTTCTGTGGATGAAATGTGCAAGTGTATCAAGTGCATACCTCCCACAATACCTGACAGGACTCAGTGAATAGTCATTTTTATCATTATTATGGATAAGTAGTCCTAAAGGAGAGCATTATATATATTGTGCGCTTTATATATGTAAAACTTTCTTAAAAAAACCCTTTGTATTATGGAAATTTTCAAACATACCCCAAAGTAGAGAGAAGAGAATTAACTTTCAAGTACCCAACATCCAGCTTCTAATCTGGTATCATATGAGCTAGTAGAGCAAACACAAATTCAAAAACAAGGTGCAAGATTGGTAGTGAAACAAAACAGTAAAACTAAGCCTCAACAAGCACTATGGAAGAGTCATTAAAGGAAGAACATGGATAAATACATTTTAAAGCTGGGGAACGTACAAAATATAGACTTTTGCAGAAGCTTAGGGCAGTAGCTACAGGGAAAAATTCTCAGACAGCATGTAAAACAAATTTTATTATTCTTAAACTAATTTTTTTTTTTTTTTTAGATTTTATTTCTTTATTTGAGACAGAGCACAGAGGGAGAGGGAGAAGCAGACTCCCTCTTAAGTATTTATTCAAGACTTTGAATAAATTAAGCA